GAGCAGAGGGAGGGGCGAGGAGGGGGGAGGGATGAGGGGGAGGGGGACGGCTGCGCGACGCAGAACCCTGCGAGGAGGGCCCTCCCCCCTCACCTTCACAAGAGCGGTGCAGGGAAGCTGGAAACAGTGGACCCTGGATTTGGCTTTCACATCAGGCTGAGGCCACCGATGGAGAAGAGCGACCGAGGTCACCAGGCAGAGGTTGGAAGCAGTGTCGCGGCCGAAGATGAGGGCGGTGGAAAGGCTGAAGTTGGAAACGATGCAACGCGGCAAGAGACACCGGAGGACGACATCGACAGGGTGCCGCAAGGGCGCATTCCGAGCACCACCCGGAGGACGATGACGACGACGAACTGGGGGACGCCGACAACCCACCTGCACCGGTGCTGACCAGGCCAGTCCAGGACCTGGGATCGGTCTATGCGCCTCACTGGCCTGGGCCTGGCGGGTGCCTACGATCCTCGCGTCAAGATTGGCGCCGCCAAGGTCTGTGTAGGTTGATCGCTGGACCGCTTCGAAAACTCTAAGCCCGAACACGTTGGCATCTCCTGGGGGAGGGGGGGCAACTCTTGCTTCCGCCAGCGGAGGAGCCGCCCTCGTTTTGCCCCCACCGCCTCCCACTGACCTTCCCGTTGTTTCCGCCGAGGGGGGCGAGGTGCCACCTTTCTTGCGGGTTCCTGAAGTCGAGGCCCATCTTGGTGAACGTTTTCTTATTCGGCGTTTCGACGTTAGGCGGAGGGGGGGCTGGCTCTGGACCTCTGCTCAATGCGACTGCTTGCAGCAGTGCGTCCTATGGGAGAGGCTCCACCTGCTGGAAGCAGGCGCAAAAAAACAGCCAAGATCTGCTCCATGGCGAGGGGGGGGAGGGTGGTGCGAGGGCCCGCGCCGATCGGCAAACCAGAGAGTGGAAGAAACGATCATTTGACACACCCCAGCTTGGCGGGCGGGGCACAGATCCAGGTCCACGGCCTCGCTGCCCCGAATCCTCGGCCGCGCATCCACTCGGGCTGGGCGAAAGGGGGGGACAGCAAAAGGGGGGTTTGGGAATCGGCTCACGCAACTGATTTTCCCGGCGCCTCCCGGCGCCGGGAGGCGGCCATGTATCGAGGAATGGGCCCCTCGGCCGGGCCGAAGCCAGCTGCCTGCAGCAAATTTCGTAACCCCCCCTTTCCCTATCTCCCCCTTTCGCCCGGCACGATCCACGGATGCAGGGCGGCTCTGCGCGGATGCTGCGCGCGGGCCACCCCTGGGGGGATCGCGTGCCCAGACATCCGACGATGCCGGTTCTTCGATGCGCGGCCTCAGAGGTCACGACCCCCTTTTCCTGGGTTAGATGTTCATCCTGCAACCATGGTTGACGGCCTCGGGGCCCAAGAACAGGCCCCAGAGGCCCAAATCGAAGAGCGCCGGGATTGGAAGCAGAACAGGTCGGCGGAGATCTGGGTAATGTCAGCTTGTGGTTCAGAAATGATGACCCCCCCCCCCCTGGGGCTGATGAGTAGGCCTCGCGGGGCGCGGAACATTGTTTCATCACGCGCGCCAGCCACCGCGCCGCGGATGATGGCAAACGGCATGAACGACGAGGAAGAGGATGATCACGGCATGACGACGAGGGGCGATGCCACCTCTGCCTCCCGCCCCCCCCCTCCCCCAATCCGTGCTGCTCCTGTCGCCTTGTCGCTGGCGGCCGGGCGTCGGCGCTAATCACTGGCGCCGCTGCCGTGTGCTTCAATTTGGCGGGCGCCACCCCCGCGATTCGCCCGAGCAGGGAAACTATTCTTTCAATCACACGCCCCGCTTGTGTTTGTTAATCTCGGGCCGGGCGAAAGGGGGGGATATAGCAAAGGGGGGGTTCGAGAATCAGCTCACGCAGCTGACTTTCCCGGCGCCTCCCGGCGCCGGGAGGCGCCCATATATCGAGGAATGGGCCCGGCGGCGGGGCCGAAGCCAGCTGCATGCAGCAAATTTCGTACCCCCCCTCTCGCCCCCGATGATCCCAAGCTGGCATGATCCGCGGGCTCGCGCCTGGGCATCCAGACCGCGAGGGCTCTGCATGGATGGGCTCCGTCGCTCGTGGTCTCTCGCGCTCGCTGGCGCACGCTGGGAGGGTCCGCGGCCTCGTAGAGCGCCAGCTGCAGCGCCCACGTCGCGTCCTGCTTGGAGTCGTGCGCCTTGTCTGCGTTCGCGTTCGCCAGGGTGGCCACCTGCCCGGGGAGGGCGCAGATCGGAGGGAAGAAGAAGAAGAAGCACGCCGAGGCGGACCAGTCACGTGACTAACGACTCGGCCCAGCAGGGCGGCGCTCGGGCTCAGCCTAGCCCATTACCGCTTGCGCCACCTGCTGGGTCCTCCTGTGCCCGAGCCAGCTCCCGCTGGCGCACTCTCTCCTGGAGTGCCGCCAGCCGTGATTCGTACTGATACGAAGAGGCTGGGTTGGGCCTCGCGGAGACACTGGTCGTCTCTCTCCGAGGGACGCGACGTGTGGGCGCCACTCGGACGGCAGGTATCACAGAATCAATTGATCTCTGGAGCTTGCGATGAGGGCCGACGCCACGCCTCAGGTTCCGAAGAATCTCAAGACCCTTGGGCGTCGGCCTGATGCAAGGTGACCTCAACTTCAGACGGCGCCTCTGTTGGGCCCACGCTCCACATTTCGTACAGACAAAAACAGGTCGGTCCACACTATCGGAGACCGACTCGCACCGTTCGCCAGACTGGTGCACAGCAACAAGACAGTGGCCGTTCGGCCGAGCGAAAAACGCACTGAGGAAAGCTGGGGTTCCCCTGCAGCCCACTAAGGGCCAATCAACAGCATTGTCATGCAGAACAGAGAGGCAATACTTACACTGAACTCCTAACTCCGTCCTGCACCAATCATGATGTCCCTCAGTCCTCACGTTTCTACTCCTCTTGAATATCGGTGCCCTCCTCCACCTCTCCTCCTTCTCGTAGCAGGGTAGGGTGGCGGAGATTAGACGCGCGAGGTTCCTCGTCGCCTCCTCGTGCAGCTCAATCTGCTTACAGAATTCGCGACGAGGAGCGGGGTGAAGAGAAACAGCCATCTTCGCGAATCTGTCAGCAGCAATGTTCGCATCTGTTATTCTTCTCTGTTCAACATTCAGCAGAGCATATTGTTCGCTCGTGCGATGTGCTTTAACATGTTCTGCTGCTGTCAGATATTCACGACCAGGAAGGCTCTGACCAAAGACCTGAACACATGCATAAATGGAACGTGATTCTCTCTGGCGCTGAGGAGACTTCCGCGCCTCGAAGACTGCACCGAGGAAATCAAAATGCATGGTTGCAGGCCGATCTGCGACTTGGCCACAAAAAGCCAATCCCATATACTCAGCAATCACTGATGTCTGGGGCAGAGCGGGAGGAACAGCCCCATATACTGCAAGAAGTGGATCTGGGCCAGACGGGTTCAACAATGCTATTGCCCATCCAGCCCTCTGTAAATCACGAAGAGCAGGTTTGCTGCAAGAACCATCGGGAGCAAGTTCGATCGCCTGCGCCTCTGGGCATTCAGATTCCACCATCTCCTCAGGGTTCAAATCCTGCACCTCGCCGGCCACATTCACGACGAATGCTTCATGACCAGGTGCCAATTGTGGAATCTCCTCGTCGAGATATTCAAACACTCCATGCTCAAAAAACCCCGAGCTATGCTCATCAATGCCGCGTTGGATGAATTCGGGTGGTACCCCAGAAGCACTTCTGGCAGCCACCACATCACACCTCATGCAAGTGAACAATCGATGATGTACCGTATCTGGAGCTCCGCAATCACAACGACCGTCCGTCTCATAACCTTTGCATCTCGCCCTCTCACGTGTCCATATGCCACCGAGCGCAAAGGATTTGACCAGGAACTTCTGGTATGAGGTGAACTTCGAATACTTCTCTCTCACGAACGGTCGAAGAATATCATAACTTGATCTCATGCCAGCTGGAAGCCCTCTCTTGGCAGCCAAGTCGAGCTCCAACTGTCTCTGTAATGACTCAGTCATTCGCTTCTCCAGCATGCCTGGTGTAAATTGTTGCAATGGCACTTCAACTCCACGATGGTCAAGCCAGACATCCCACTGCTTGATTGTCCAACCGACCCTGCGAACACAAAGAGCAGCTCGCTCCAGGGGCCCTCGCGAGGACGCCCACGCTAGATCCTCAAGCGGGCGATCCTGCAAAGCCTGTGTCCACCACGTTCGGAGCTGATCCAAAGAAACTAATGCCGTATCTGGTGCCAGAACTGCTTGCCATATCATTCTTGACCACTGCAGAGCTGGGGCAAGTGCTTGACGCGCTGAAGGATCATCAAAGAGTACAGCCTTTGCACTTGCCGAAATCCCACCATGGCATGGTTTCACGAACTGAAAGAACTGTCTACGTAATGCACTCCATTCAGAATCTGACAGGCCTGTGATCTCCACACCGAACGTCAGGGCTGGTCGCGCCCCTGTTCTGAAGATTTTGCCTGTCCTCTCGAACTTCTTGGTGGGAGTCGCCTTTCGATACCGAGCAATTTTCTTCAACCGATGTTGAAAACGTCGACGTCGACTCTGTTGCTTCTTCCGCGTGGCTGCAGCTCGCCTTGATCTCCCACCAGCCTGATCTGTACCAAGATACTTAGCTGCTCGCTTGTTGGAAGAAGAATCAAACCCCAATTTGTCAGCAACCGTATCACCAACTCCAGATTCAGAACATACGATTGAGAGCTTGTTATTAAACTTGGCCCCCAATCTTGAAGCTGTTGTCTGGAAACTGCGACCAATTCTCACCGCCATCTCGATCAACTCATCTGTAGTATCCGCTTCGATGCCGAGGCTGCTGTCGTCAATGTGCGAAGAGAAATGCAGCTCACTGTGCAAAGCCACGAATCTGTCGTACTCCTCCAATGCGTGTACCTTGATCCCCACATCCGCATATGCATCGCCCGCTGGGAATCCTCGACGAGCGTGAACTGGTTGAAGACAATGGTGCCGCATTAATCGAATGATTCTTGGCGCCGACCAAGTGTTGAATAACAATTTCGTCAAACACGTGGGTGCTCCATATCTAGAAAACTTCTCCCTCACCGTAACTAAATCAATGGTCTCATAGCACTTGCTGTAGTCAGCAATGATCTGCAAGCTCTTCCTTTTGTCATGTACGCAAGCTTCGACACGAGCAGCCACCTGCCACGCAGAATCGATAACGGAGCGGCCCGACGAGGCCCCCCAATACACACGGCGTAGAAACAGCTGAAGTGGTGCAAGCTCAGGTCGACGAAGCCTTTGCCATACACGATATACCGATCCATAAAGAACTATAAGTCGATGTCCTCCCATCGGCTTGGGAAGCATAGGCATGCAAATCCATAGCATCTGCTTCGGTAACATTCCCACAGATTCGAAAGCTTCGAACAACATGCCGAGGATGTCGAGGCTCTCATCGCTTAAGAGCAGCAGGTGTCTAGGATGTAGTCCGTCCAGAGACCCTGCAGTTGATGAGGAAAACGTTTGAGCAACGGCCCTGATGTCAGCAGCAGTTGCTCTCGGGAAAGAACTCCTGTCTGGTATCCATGCTTTGGGCGCCTCAGAGCTAGCATCCCACAACGATCGATACTCATCTGCAGTTGTCTCGACAACAACGTGTGGATGTGCAGACGGAAGCCCGTCAGCGGTGACCACCGTCGTCTCGTTGACCTGATTATACTGCGTAATCTTGTGCAAAGCTCGTGCGCCTCCTGCTGCAGCTTGATCGCACCAATTCTGCCATCGTTTTTGAGATTCTCTCCCAGCAGCCTGCTTTGCAAACTCGACGTCCTCATCAATCTCCTCAAGGAATTCAGCAATCTGTTCTGGAAAGAATCGACCTGCTACCAATCGCCTCGCCTGCGTCACACCTGCGTCCAATCTCGAACATTGATGAACCCCAGGATACGGTGACGTCTGAAACAGCATCAGCTCGTCGTCAAGCATCGCAGCTTTCTCCTCATCGCCATTGCTGGATGCCTGCTTCAACAGGCTGAGACCTTGAAGAGCACCCGAAAGCCACTTCCATCCGTCCGCGTGTGCAGCAAGCCCTACCGCATCACTGCCATTGTAAGTTACGTCGACCCACTTCGGCTTGATGCAGCGCGCGTACGAGCCAGGACATTTGACTTCCTCGCCCGTCATGATGCCAATTCTCTCAGCAGCTCTGGCGATGAAACTCCCCCGAGCCAAGGTAAGAAAACCCCATGCAGCATCCGAAGGTGACTCCTTGGCCATCTCAACCGCTGTGGAAGCACACCTACGCTCCATTGACCAATCACAATCCTGCTGGGCAGGCCCAAACACAGCGGTTGTGGGAAGCTTTGGGACTGCAGCATACGTCAGTATCTGAAGTCGATGTCCATCGGCAGCCAGTTCGATTTGCACAGGACGGTGTGGCTTGGTTTCCCACGTAGCATCAACCTTTATCTGCTTCAATGAGCGGTGTGCACCCACACGGAGACAAAAGGAGTCAATCGTACTCGTCGATGTCGCCGTCCTGCGCGTGACCGATGCTGGAGCAACAATTTGCACTTGGGCAGCCCTAGCGAACCCTGAAGACTCAAGTACCGCCTTGTCGAGATTCCAGTCACCACCAATGCTACTAGGCGATGTGAGCCCAGCGAGGGACTGCCCAATGCAAGAAAGTACCCTTGAGTTGCGTACGGTCAAGCCCTCAGAACAATGAAGGTACACATTGAAAATATGCATCTCTGGTCACCCTGGCACATCAACCACCACATGTAGCGCCCTGTGGGCGACCAGAACGCCAGAAACAGTCTGACCATCAGCTTGGGGACGTCGGAGACCAACTTCAGCACGGGCGAAAACAGCAACTCCCGCAGAAGGGAGATGGCCCTTGGTCTCATGTCCTGGTTCAATGATAACACCCCAACCACGTCTACCAGCCCAAGAGGAAATCTCTTCAGCATTGTGCGAAAAATAACCCAACTCCTGCGCCAATACGATTATGGCTGAGGTGCGTTGCAATCTGCGCTTCAATGTCTCACGACCTTGATTGACATTGAACGTTTCAACTAAACGGGACTGCTGCTGGCTAGTTCGTGGTACGGGAGCAGCACGCGTCTTACCTTGAACAACAGATAATCCACTCACCAATGGACGGTTGCTAAAGGTCCTCTTGATCATCACCAACTTTGCGAACTTTCGTCTTTTGGAGTGCGTTGACCATCTCCGCAAGCTTGGCAGGTCGTGTCTCCTCGCTCTCCTGCTGCAACTTGGTCCACACCTCTCCAGCTTCTGACTCAGACAGATCGATCTCAGGTGGTGGTCGCTTCTCACCAGCACCTCCACCTGCAGGCCGCTCAGCAGCAGGAGGAGACACAGACCCAGCATGAGGCCTGCCCTCCATGGGGTCGTCAACCGTCCCTGCAGGGGCAACGATCTCGAAAATAATCTTCTGGAACTTCTCGAACTTCGGGTGTGCGCTGAGGTCCTTGAACAGCTTCTCAAGCTCGGCGTCCTCGGCAAGGATGAGGTTGGAGCCCAGCTGCTTGATGAAATCCTCAGGGACTCCTGCAGCTTCAGCTCCTCTGGGGCCTCGCTGCTTACGCAACTTGGCTGCCGACATTTCAACTTCCACTTCGAGTAAATCAACTTCCTTCGACTTCGCCTCGAGTGCAGCTTTTTTGCCATCCGACTCATTCTGAAGTGATGACAACCTTGCCGATAGTTCCGATATCTCATACTCCATCTTCGTCTTCTGCGACTTGCAGCGTTCAAGCTTCTGAAAGGCAGCCTTGTGTGCCGACACGGGCGGGCGCATGGCTCTGTGCTCTTCACGAAGCTGGTCCAACCTTTTCTTCGCCGCTGGCAAGTCGGGATCATCCTCGTCCAGCTCCTTCGTCTGCTTGATGAACTGGTCAAGTACATCAATGCGCTTCTGAAGCGCAGCTCTCTTGGCGTAGTCCGTCTCGTTACCGTTGGAGTCCTTGGGCTGTGTGTCCACTCCGTCGGGCTTGGCCGCACCACCCTTCTCAGCCTTGACTCTCTTGAGCTCAGCTGAAAGATACTCCATCTGCTTCTGCATCTGCTTGTACTGATCACTCCACGGCGCTGGGGACTGTGATGCACGGCGAGGCGCTGACGCAGGCTGCTGCGTCGCCTCCCTCGCAGCCTTCCTCGCACGTTGGATGAATGCCGTCGGTGCATCCTGTCCGCATCTGCACTTGATGCGGCTCGCCCAATTCGCCGACGCTCCACAGGATGGGCACCCCCATGTGGGTTTGCGGGGGCCTTGTAGTACAGGCCCCGCCATGAGCGCCATCGGGGAGATCCTCTCGACCTCGCCCACACAACACTCGTGTTCTCCGTCTCAACAAAATGGGGTGCTCCTGCAGGAGCTCACTGCCACAATGGCTCGCTGCGGCGGTGCCGTTCTGAAGTCTGCCGCAGCAAGCTCAGGGGGAGGAGGGGCGGGAAATTCGGGGGGAGAGGGGAGGAGGGGGGGAAGGAGGGGGGGAGAGGGGGGGGAAGGAGGGGGGGAGGAGGGAAGGAGGGAGGAGGGGCAGGGGGAGGGAGGGGGGGGGAGGGGCGGCAGGTTCGCCCAGTGGAAGCGGGTCGTGGGGAAGGCGGGTCCTGGACCCTGGCGCCTCCCCCCAGGACGAGGTCTTCATCCTGAATCGTTCTCGGACAGTCCCGGGCCCGCGGAGGGCCCCGAAGCCCCGAGGGCGGCGAGAAAAGCCTCAGGACCCGCTTCCCTCGGGACCCGCCTTCCCCCACGGCGAGGAGGAGGAGGAGGGGAGGGAGGGGATGGAGGACCGACGGAGGAAGGAAGGAGGAGGGAGGGAGGGGAGGGGATGGATGGGGAGGGAGGGAGGGAGGGGAGGGAGGGGAGGAGGGAGGGACAAGCTAGGTGCGCTCGCGTCATGTCTGACGTCCTACCCCTCCCTCCCATCCTTACCATGGCGCTACCATGGCGCTGATTTTCTCTATCCGCGGACGCGTGTCGTAGCGGACCTGTGGCTCCGCGCGCGCGTGCGTAGTGGGTGGTGGTGCGCGTGCGTGCGTTGCGTGCGTGTGTGCGTGGTTGTGGTGGTGGTGGTGGTGGTGGGTGGTGGGTGGTGGTGGTGGGTGTGTGGTGGTGGTGCTGGTGGTGGCGGCGCGGTGGTGGCGGGCGGATGGGCGCGCGAGAAAGAGGCCCGCGCTGGGGCGAGAACGCCATCCTGAACGACGGAGGCCAAACACCGATCCGAAAATGAGGCCCACGCTGCAGCGGGAGCACGATTCGGAACGATTCGGGAGCAGAAATGAGGCCGGCGCCTCAGCGAGAGCAGCATTTTGAAACAAAACGCAGGCGAAAACCCGTTTCCCGGGAATCCTGTGTGTAAAAAAAACAGTACGCGGGGGGGGGTCGGATATCTTCGGGACGCCATCAGGGGAAGTGGGAGAGTATTTTCATATTGTGTAATTGTGGAGGAGAGGAGGGAGGAAGGAGGAGAGGGGGCAGGGGAGGGAGGGGAGGGAGGGGAGGGAGGAGCGAGGAGCGGAGAGCGGAGGAAGGGCGGGGGGAGCAGGGAGCCGAGCGGAGCGCCGAGGACGTCGCGGAGGACGGCCCCCCATGGCTGGGACGCACATGGGAGGCCTGGAAATGGGCACCAACACCAACACAGGGGGCCGTCTCCACAGGGGGGAGATGATCCTCGATTTCGGTGCTGGTGGTAATATTTCGGCCACCTTGGAAGCCAGAACATTACCACCATCACCGAGATCGGGATTTTCTTCCCTCGGTGGAGGCACACCGCCGATATTGGTGTTGGTGTCAACCTCTAGGCCTGCGAGCACAGGAGACATGCCAATGCTGTGCACCCTCCTTGAAAACGCGCGTCCAACCCGAACACATACGGTCAAGCCGGATACGTTGGACGCACGGCAAGGGTGCAGGGGCCTTGGACGAGCACGTCGACACTCTGCGAGTGGGGTGCGGCCGGCGAGGGCGGCCAGGAAGGGGCCGAAGGGGAAGGCTGGAGGGGTAGCCCTGGAAGGCCGCTCACCCTGACTCTGCGGGAGGATCGTAGCACAGCCAGCTCGTGAATCATGTACAGGGCAGATTTAATCAAGTATAGGATTTTTCATACATGATTAATGTATGAATAAATTGATGCATGAACTCCTCGTTGTTTTTGATATTAAAACCCTGCGTTTCTAATACATGATCCGCGCGCAGAGCATGTATGAAAAACGGCACTGCATCGTTTCCCGAGCGGCGTGGCCAGAGCTCGCCCGCGGCGGAGCGTGTGCTGGCGCGGCGCGTCGCCCCTCGGGGGGGGGGGGGTGGTGGGGGCAACGCACACATGGCATCTAAGTATGTTGTGGTGGCGTCGGCTGGAGGGGCGCGGCGGCAAGGCAACAACACCGGCATGCTGACCGATCCAACTCCGAACGCGAGAGACCATTTGGATTGCCAGTACAGTCATACCTTACGTGTGGATTTTTCCCTTCAGTGACAGGATATCATACTCCAGCTTTTCTCTCAGCCCTCAGATGGTGACGGGGATGTCAATTGAGCGACGAGAAGAAACGGGTCTTACGCGAGACGAGAACATCGACCTTACGAGGTGGGTTACGCGGGCCGCTGGCGCGGCACGCCGCATTGGAAACGAGGGCGCTTACGCGCGACCTTGTGCGGCAACTTACGCGCGAATGTCCGTGCAGACGACCCCGTTTTAAGTCGCTCAGTTGGCGATGGTGATCAGATCACATGCATGCGAATTCCTCCAATTCGCTCTGGAATGCGACGGCGTCTTCTTCCGAATAGCGATGGTATCGCTGAAAGCTCAGTGCTCGTCCTGGGCATGTGAAGGGTTGCTTCTGGCTTTACCGCGCAGCAAGCACCGAAAGGCATGTTCAACAGAAATTATCGTCGATAACTCATCAAGTTTGAGCTTATGATCGATGTTCGGTTGCAATGCCGGCCGCAAACACGGTCCCAAAGTTCTGTGCTGTGCAAGGCGTCGAACTCATCATTGATGCCCTCTCTGGTGAGCTCGGTCGGCTGTAAATGCACTGCTGGTTTGATGTACGTAGCTTGCGATGGCCAAGGAAGCATCACGGTGCTATAATTCATGGCTGGTATTTTCGGTGTATGCTTGCCGGCGCGCTGCTCTCTTGGACTCCAGATATACGATCAACGCATCAAAATTGCGTTTCAAACTAACTCGGAATCAAGCTTTACAATGGTATTCACTTCTACCACCAATTTCCGAACAACACACCCACGCCAATGGGATTGGACAGCAATGGCCGCCAGCGATGCAACCGTCTTACTTCCAGAAATCGTTGCCACGAGAAACTCCCGCAATCCTGTGGGTTCTGGGAGCGTTGCTCTGATCGTCTCGCCAAAATATCTCATGATCCGCAGGCGGTGATGATGCACTTTCGCCCACAAGTTCCGCTGGCATGGTCTGTACGAGCGTCAACCATCTTACCCTCGATGCGAAGTAGGGTCGACAACAAGCAGCATCAGGATACGTAGCACCCCGCAGTTGCGGATAAGAGTGAGGGGGCGGCGGGGACGTCGGCAATCTGCGAGGCTCTGAAGAAGCCCGCTGCAAGCGCAGAGTTTTTCAAACTATACAACGAGCCCGTCGAAGGCGCACATTTTTTATTAAAACAATGTGGGTGGGTCGCGGATTGGGTGGTGGGTCGCGGGTGGGTCGACGGTGGGTCGCGGGTGGGTCGCGGGCAAGGTCGCGGGTGGGTCGCGGGTGGGTCGCGGGTGGGTCGCGGGTGGGTCACGGGTGGGTTGCGGGTGGGTCGCGAGCGGGTCGCGGGGTCGCGGGTGGGTGCGGGTGGGTCGCGGGGTGGGTCGCGGGTGGGTCGCGGGGTGCGGATCGCGGGATGGGTCGCGGGTGGGTCGCGGGTGGGTCGCGGGTGGGTTGCGGGATGGGTCGCGGGGTGGGTCGCGGGGTGGGTCGCGGGGTGGGTCGCGGGGTGGGCTGCGGGTGGGTCGCGGGGGGGACGACGACAACAAACTAACAACGCAACAAGCAGACTCCTCACCACGGATCCCCCCTTCAGCCAAGCACCCAGGGACAAAGAATGACCGTTCGGCCCCCTCACTATGGTCCTCTGTCGCAAGTCAGTGAAGAGCGCACCATTCATGACTTGGCTTTTCGCGCGGTGTTTTCAAAATTGTCCTCAAGCTGATCGTACTACGATTATTGATGCATGCTTTCGCACTGCATCGTGCTGTAAACGGTCCCGCCCTTTCCACGGCCGGGAACATGTAAGATTATCACCACCATCTGGACGCACCAGGCTGTCGCGCATCACGATTGGTGTTAGGTCGGGCATGTTCTCCTACAGGCGGATGCTGGAAGATAACAACAATAGTCCACCAATAATAAAAAGAACACGAGACATCGTCCCCGTGATATTTGTGAGCACTTGTTCTACATTTCTCCTGTAAGAGAGACGTGCCCGACTCAAGATTGGTGACTCAAGGCGGGGCCGCTCCGTCGAAGGAGTCATGCACGGGCACCCGCCTGACCCAGAATGGCTCGAGCCGAGGGCGCGAAGGCGACGGGAGCGGGGAGGGCGGGAGGGAGGGAGGGAGCGCCCCGGGAGAAAATCCGGCTCGAAGGATGGCGCAGGAAAACGGGGTCCAGGGCTCTGGCCGTGAATTTTCTACGGTGTTGCAGTGTTGTCGCAGCGTCGGATCTCAGGGGAGGCCGGGCGACGAGACCTATACCCATCGGTCGGAAGAAGGAGCTAGAAACATGAAGGAGGAGGGCGTTGAAAGTAGAGTGGGGTCGGTCCGCCCCCTGAGGAGGACGGAAAAGGTGAAGCCACTCGATCATTGAAGTAGGAAGGCGCTTACGGTATATTGGAAACTGGGAGCTCAGAAAAACCTGGCTTCACCGACCGACGGGTACACCGACGGGCACACAACGACCGCTGGGCACACAAATCCACGGGCACACAGACGGGTACACAGCGACCGATGGGTGCACGGACGGCTACCTCAGGAAGCCTGCCCTCCACGACGCATGGGTACACCGATCCACCGCCCGCCTGCCTTGGGGCCCCGGGAGCGGTGCACGTGCCTCCCCGGCCAGGGGAGCCCAGGGGTGGGGGCGGGGGGGGGCGTGCGCACCGCTCCTGTGCCCACGAGGGGCCTGGCCACTCCGGCGGCGCGCGCGGCTTCGAGCAGGGACCGGCCGTCCCGGCAGACCTCTGGGCATACCACGAACCGTTCTTGGAACCCCAAGTGGTTCGAATAACAAAGAGAAGGTGTTCTGAGAACGTCTGGCCGATGTGCTAAAACAAGACAGTCGCGCGGCCAGGCACGTTGTAAGAACGTTTCGTGCAGACTGCATGAGGCTATAAAACATTCTTCGGTGGGCCTATAGGCAAGCCAGGACGCTTCGCCACTGCTCGAACTTTGGCGGCGCGCACAAGGGGGCGGCGGAGGAAGGGAAGGGCTCTATCTGGAGACTGTCTCGAAGAAGCCGCTGCTGACCTCACATCTATAGACAAGGCCCGCGCTTTCCAAGAGGCAACCTCCCCCTGAAAACCCCCCTCCTCCCCCCACCCGGGAAAACCAAGAGGTACAGATACCGCTACTTCTCGGACCTCTCCCTGGGTTCCGAGGAGGCCCCAACTTGGAAAAACGAAGGAACGGCAGCGGCATCGGTTCCTTTCCTCCGACGATCCCCCCTCTGCGCGTGGCTGACCAAGAGGCAGTGGATAGGTGCGTGTAGCTCTCGGACGAGGCCGCGACGGCGCCTTTTCCGGCCGGCGAGGGGCAGCTGGAGCGCCCGCGCGCCCGCGCGCCCGAGGTGGCGGGGGGCGGGGTTCGGGGGGCGTCAAAAAGGGGGGCGTCCAAAAGGGGGCGTCCGGGAGGAAGGAGGAGGAGGAGGAGGAGGAGGAGGAGGAGGAGGAGGGGGAGGAGGAGGAGGGAGGAGGAGGAGGAGGAACGAGCGTCGGACCACGATTTTCTGCGCGGCCCCACCGCGGGGGGCTGGCTCCATCTGAAGGACCAGGAGCTCCCGACCGCGAACACGAAGCGGTCCACGGCTTTCACGAGGCCGAGCACGACGACCTTCAGCACGCCGACCTCCACCACGACGGACTTACCGTGGCCGACGTGCATCCCGACGAGCCAGGCACCAACGCAGCTCGCCGACCACGTGCCAGAGCCGCGGCCTGCGCAGGCGCCGCCGCGCGCGGACTGCACCTCGTCGAAGCTGCGGGCCACTGCGATGGGCTCCTCGCGGCCGTCTGGGGACCTGCTCTGGCATCGTGGGCAGCCTCGCGCGCTTCGACAGGCGGTCGACGAGCTGCTGAAGCTGCCAGATCTCCAGTCCAGCGTGACTGCCCTTGCCGCTGTGCTCGTCGCCGTTGACGTCTTGCTCGCCATGCAAACCTCCACGCGCAGCACGCCCCCGCGACCATGAGGCCGACGCCGCCGCGGAGGGGCAGCCGCGGGCTCCGCCGAGGGCGCCGCAGCGGGCGCTGGAGGGGCGGCCTGGCCAGCACGGCCACCGCCATCCTGAGCATACCTTCAGGTGCGCGAGCGAGTCGAGCCCCTTCTCGAAGCTCCTCGCTGCTGGACAGCCCTGCGGCGAACGGCCTCCGCGGACCGCGGCACGCACGGCCTCCAGCGGAGCAGCAGCGCGGGCATCCGCGGCCGAACCCAGCATCAGGGCGCGCGGCGGCGGGGCTTGCAGCACGACGAACTTGAGCAAGAACGGCTCTTGAGGCAAAAGGGCTACGGCTACGGCAGGAAGAGGAGGAAGAGGAGGAAGAGGAGAGAGAGGAGGGGGAGGGGGGAGAGGGGACGCAAATCATGGCAGGCGGCATGTGCTCGGCCCAAGGAGAGGACCGGGAGCGTAATGATATGAGCAGAGGCGCCATGAAATCTGGGGAGATCTCATGGCCCCCACCATGAGAGCCGTCCCCCCCCCAGTCTTTGGTCGGGCATGTCCTCTTACAGGCGGGCTTTGGGCGAAGATGCGCAAAAGAAACGGCTCAAACATAATATCAGAATTAAAAAGTCGCCCCCCAGACAATTCTAGACTACTTTTGAACATTCCTCCTGGAGAGGGGCACGCCCGACTTAACCCTAAGCATCACCCCCCTCGTGGCCGCCCCCCCCCCGAAGGGTCTCAGGGCCGGAACACGTGCTCCCCGCCGGGGAGGTCGTCGCAGAAGCGCAGGTCCTCGATGCGCGCCCGGCAGATCGGGGGGCCCGGAGGGGGGTGGCCAAGCGAGCGGCGAGAAGAGGTCGCATGGGAGGAGGGAGGAGGGAGGAGGAGGAGGAGGAGGGAGGAGGAGGAGGGAGGGAGAGGAGGAGGAGGAGGAGGAGAGGAGGAGAGGAGGAGAGGAGGAGGAGAGAGGAGGAGGAGGAGGAGAGAGGATCGAGAGAGGATGGGGAGAGGAGGAGGGAGGAGGAGGAGGAGGAGGAGGAGGAGGAGGAGGAGGAGGAGGAGGACCGCCGATGGCTCGACAAACAACCCTCCTCCGAGATGGGGCACTTTCCCAGGTGCCTGACCCGGACCGTGCACCTGTGGCACGTCGCCAGGTGCCGGCACGGCATGAGCACGGCCACGCGCCCCATCTCCAGGCAGACCGCGCAGCAGCTGGAGCTGTCGGCAGCAACGACGTCCTTCGCCGAGGCCTCCTGCTCCTCTCTCGCCAGCGCCTGTGTAGGTACTCCTCCTCCTTCTCCTCCTTCCCCCTCGCCAGCCCATCCTTCTGCCATTTCGCTTCATCCCCTCTCGCCGTCGTCGTTGTCGTCGTCGTCTTCGTCGTGCGTTCTCCTCCTTCGCCTCCTCCCCCCCCGCCAGCCCGCGCTTCTCCTGCTGCTGCCCCTCATTCTCGTCATCATCTCCCTGCTCCTCCTCGTTCTGCTCCCCATCCCTGTTCATTCCCCTCCTCCGCTCTCCTCCCCATGCCTCCTCCACCTCTTCTTCGTCGTCCTCGTACTCGTCCTCGCCCTCGTCCTCCTTTTCTCCTCCTCCTCCTCCTCCTCCACCTCCTCCTCTAGCCCCTCCCCCTCTTCAGCGGCCCACGCAATGATGGGGAAGGATGGGGGCTACACTCTTGAAAGGCAGAGCTCTCATTTTGGAAGCCCGCCTGCCCTCCAAGAGACGTTGTGGTTGAGGCTTCCGGCCTCCATCGGGCCGCTCTGGGCTGGCTGCAACCCCCTTCCTTCGCGCCGACCCAGGTATCTTTCGTGCTCCTGCCCCTCCTCCTGCTCCCTCCTCCTCCTCCTCCTCCTCCTCCTCCTCCTCCTCCTACTCCTTCTCCTCCTCCTCACTACTCCCCGCTCCTCCTTGGTCCTCCTCCTGCCTCCTCCCTCCTCCTCCTGCCCCTGTCCATCCTCCTCCGCCTCCTCCATTCATTTCCGCAAAGATAACTCCTCCCTGTCATACCCCAAGGCTGGTCGAAAGGGTGGGCTGGGCGTTTCGCCTGAGACTTCGTCGCAGTTTACGACTTTGAAGCCTAAACGATGACAACAGCTTCCCGGATGGAGGAAGGGTGCTTTCAATATGTGGCTTTCGCCTTAGCGCCGAGCACATGCGTCCTAAAGTTGTGCAAGAGTTTCGCAGATTGAGGGAAAACGGTGTTCAACATGTGACTTTTGCCTTCTCGCCGCGCACACTCGTCTTAACAATTTGCAAGAGCTTAACAGATTAAGGGCGGGTGACTTCCAACATGTGGCTCTCGCCTGAGCGCCATGCACACTCGTCTAAAAACATTTGCAACAAGTTTCACATTTTGAGGGCGGCCCGTTGTAAATTTGTAGCTCTCGCCTGAGCGCCGCGCACATTCGTCTTAAAAGTTTGCGAGGGCTGCACACATTGAGGGCGGCCCGTTTTCAACATACGGCTCTCGCCCTAGCGCCACGCACGTGAAGTCTAAGAACTCGCAAGGGCTCCAAGGATCGATAGCGGTCCTTTGTCACAAGATGGCTCTCGCCTTAACGCCGCGCATATTCGGCTTTTTTCACTGCAGAAGTTTCACCGTTTCATGATTGTCAGGGCAGAACAGTTACTTTGATTCGCGGTGTTGACGTCCCAGGAGTGGCGTTCTGGCACTATTTAGATCGCCAAGACCTCACAATCAGGTTAAGGCGTGGCGTTGAAGTCCTGAGAATGGTGTTTTGGTAAGCTTCCGGATTTCTGCACGGCGGTCCCCCAAGGGGGGCAATTCCCTCGGTGGAAAAGCACCCTCGCAGGGACCTCTGCAGAGGGAGCTTGGAGGGAGGGTGCACTCTGGTGGGTGAGTCTTGGGCTCCTCCTCCTCCTCCTCCTCCTGCTCCTCCTGCTCCTCCTCCCTCCTCCTCCTCCTCCCTCTCCTCCTCCTCCTCCTCCTCCTCCTCCTCCTCCTCCTCCTCCTCCTCCTCCTCCTCCTCCTCCTCCTCCTCCTCCTCCTCCTCCTCCCCTCCTGCTCCTCCTGCTCCTCCTCCTCCTCCTCCTCCTCCTCCTCCTCCTCCTCCTCCTCCTCCTCCTTCCTCCCCCTCCCTCGTCCTGCCCAAATCTGCTCGACGTCGGTCACCGGACCCCTCCCGGGGTCCCTCCTGGCCCGGATTGTCCGGGCGGCTCCTGGCCCTGACGGCGATGCGGCCTCCGGGAGGCTCCAAGAAGAGCCGAGGCGCGCGCTCCCTGGCTGAGGGCCTCCAGCTCCCGCGGGCTCTGCTGCTCCCGCATGGCCTCGAACAGGCGCTCCATGTACGCCTGAACCTGAGCGACCAGAATAATAAGATCCGCGGCGAGCGAAGGGGGGGCAATGAGAAGGAGAGGGCCTTCGCAGAGGGCGGCGGGACTTCTCAGGAGCCATCGCGCCTTTCGAGACGGTTTTTCTGTGTTTTCGGGGAGGGCTCAGAGAACTGCTCAGAAGGCCGAGGGGCTTCCGAACCTTCTGAGAAGGCCTTCTCCTTCTCACGTCCCCCACTCGCTCGCCGCCGAGAAGATTGGCTCAGGATACGTTCCAAGATTCCCAGAATATCTGGCGGCGCAGCCGGGGTGCGGCACATTAGGAGATCCAGGACATCCTGGAAGCCCTGGATCTCCTGGACCGTATCATTAGCACGACCTCCTGCTCCTCTGAGAAGCGGGGCTTGCGCGAGATGGCACGGCGACCTCCCTCGGCAGCTCAACTATACGCGGGCCGCCAACGTGACACACCGCGTGGAGAAGAGGGCGCTTACGCGCGGCCTTACGCGAGATGCTTTCGCGCGAATGTCGGCGCCGTCGGAGCCATTTTCTCGGGCAAGGCGAAAGGGGGGGATAGCAAAGGGGGGTTTAAGAATCAGCTCGCGCATCTGATTTTCCCGGCGCCTCCCGGCGCTGGGCGGCGCCCATGTATCGAGGACTGGGCCCGGCGGCGGGGCCGAAACCAGCTGCATGCAGCAAATTTCGTACCCCCCATTTCAAGAGGCCCACAAACACACAAATAAATACACACAAATAAAAATATTCTCCATATTTTCCCATATTTTCTGAGTTTTTGTGTTCCCCACCACTTCCCATAATTTCCCATATTCCTGGGGATCGACGATTTATTGTGTCTGTGTGTTTCTTCCCCTCCTGACCATTTCCCTATCCCACCCCCTTTTCGCCCGGCCAGGCTTTCTTGCGTCGCTCGCCTGCGCCCGCGCCTCGGGCTGCGACGAGGACCCGCCGCTCAGCATCTCGACCAGCGCGGGCGACAGCTCGACGGGCCCGCGCCGCGGGTGTGCCCGCGTCGGTCGGCAGCGGTGCTCTCATCGATCTCGCCGCAGTGGTTTGCTCGGCGTCGGATCTTACAGTATTCGGGCTGACCCAAGGATCGGTAAATAAGGAACGAAGCCCCTTCTTGTGCCAAGTGAGTCTACGAAGTCCGAGGGGACACCAGGGGGGCTCGCCGCCGAAAGGGTAGCGGACCGCATGCAAACCGAAGGAACGACCGAACCCCTTTTGAAAAGTAAGCGTTCCTTATTCAAGCCGGATCCTGTATCATCGATTTCGGCTTCCGGGCTCGTTGTCGGACCCCGCGGGATCTTCATCTTCAGAGGCTACTCCTGGACGCAAAGGTACCCCCGGGGAAGGGGTCAGGAGCCAGCTGGGGCCGCGGTCAAACATCACATCGGAGGACGGCTGGTCCCCCCTGCAGCTGCCCCTGGGTGTGGCTGGTCTGGTCTGCTCAGGGGTTGAGCAGGGGCTCGACTACAGGATCGATTTGCCCCAAGACTGTTTTTCGTCGAGTCTGTGGAGAATGTGTCGAATGCTCCGTAGATCTACGGGACATTCGACACATGTATTCGTATATTCGAGGGAAAAACAACTCACGGTTAAGGCAACTCTGTAATCGATCCCCTACTCGAAGGGGGGAAGCCCACAGCCAGCGCTCCGCGAGGTCCTCCGGAGCACAACTCCGAAGCAACAGCCATCCGGTGAATCCGGCGGTGGCGACGAGGGCCTCCCAGGAGGCCGAAAAAAAAGGAAAACGGGCGAGGGGTGCGGCACGGGCACCATTTTTAAGCGGAAGAAAAACAACTCAAACATAACCTTTTGGAGGCCCGCGCGGATTCCTCGGATCTGCGCTGGACCCCCCTCCCTGGCGCGCGGCGCGCGCCATGGGCGGCGGGGGTCCAGCGCAGATCCGAGGAATCCGCGCGAAGCGCCCCAAATGTATGTCTATGGCGTTTTCTCTTCTCTGGTTCTCCGCCTCCGAAGGCACGGGCAAACCCTCGGCGCGGCGACGGTCATCGTCGTCCTGCTGTCGCCCCCCTGCAGGAACTGCACGCGCAGGTCCTCGTGGTTGATCTGCCTGCGGCACTCGAGGCCTCCGCCCGCGGTCGGTCCCACCGTGAGCTCGCCCGTGGCGGGGCGCCGCACCCGGATGCTGAAGGCCCTGCCGGGTGCCCGGGTGGCGTCCAGCGCCGCGTGGCCCGTCTCCGCCGTGACCTTACGACGAAGCCTGGACGAGGACAACATCGGAGGAGGAGGAGGACGGGGAGGAGGAGGGGGAGGAGG